ATTGCAAAAATCGCAAAAATTACTGAAAATTGCAAAAATCGCAAAAATTCCTGAAAATTTGCAAAATCGCAAAAATTCCTGAAAATTGCAAAAATCGCAAAAATTCCTGAAAATTGCAAAAATCACAAAAATTCCTGAAAATTGCAAAAATCGCAAAAATTCCTGAAAATTGCAAAAAATCACAAAAATGCCCTGAAAATTGTAAAAAATCGCAAAAATTCCTGAAAATTGCAAAAATCGCAAAAATTACTGAAAATTGCAAAAATTGCAAAAATTCCTGAAAATTGCAAAAATCGCAAAAATTCCTGAATATTGTAAAAATTGCAAAAATTACTGAAAATTGCAAAAATTGTAAAAAATCCTGAAAATTACAAAAATCGCAAAAATGCCTGAAAATTGCAAAAATTCCTGAAAATTGCAAAAATTCCTGAAAATTGCAAAAATTGCAAAAATTCCTAAAAATCGCAAAAATTGCAAAAATTACCAAAAATTGCCAAAAATTGCAAAAGTTGTAGAAATTTCTGAAAATTGCAAAAATTCCTGAAAATTGCAAAAATTCCTGAAAATTGCAAAAATGCCTGAAAATTGGAAAAATCGCAAAAATTCCTGAAAATTGCAAAAATCGCAAAAATTCCTGAAAATTGCAAAAATCGCAAAAATTCCTGAAAATTGCAAAAATCACAAAAATTCCTGAAAATTGCAAAAATCGCAAAAATTCCTGAAAATTGCAAAAATTGCAAAAATTCCTGACAATTGCAAAAATTGCAAAAATTCCTGAAAATTGCAAAAATCGCAAAAATTCCTGAAAATCGCAAAAATTCCTGAAAATTGCAAAAATCACAAAATGCATGAAAATTGTAAAAATCGCAAAAATTCCTGAAAATTGCAAAAATTGCAAAATTCCTGAAAATTGCAAAAAATCGCAAAAATGCCTGAAAATTGCAAAAATTGCAAAAATTCCTGAAAAATTGCAAAAATCGCAAAAATTCCTGAAAATTGCAAAACCCGCAAAATTCCTGAAAATTGCAAAAATCGCAAAAATTCCTGAAAATTGCAAAAATCGCAAAAATTCCTGAAAAGTGCAAAAATCACAAAAATTCCTGAAAATTGCAAAAATCGCAAAAATTCCTGAAAATTGGCAAAAATCACAAAAATGCATGAAAATTGTAAAAATCGGCAAAATTCCTGAAAATTGCAAAAATCGCAAAATTCCTGAAATTGCAAAAATCGCAAAAATGCCTGAAAATTGCAAAAATTGCAAAAATTCCTGAAAATTGCAAAAATCGCAAAAATTCCTGAAAATTGCAAAAAATCGCAAAAAATTCCTGAAAATTGCAAAATTGCAAAAATTCCTGAAAATTGCAAAAATCGCAAAAATTCCTGAAAATTGCAAAAATCACAAAAATGCATGAAAATTGTAAAAATCGCAAAATTCCCGAAAATTGCAAAAATCGCAAAAATTACTGAAAATTGCAAAAATCGCAAAAATTCCTGAAAATTGCAAAAATCGCAAAATTCCTGAAATTGCAAAAATCGCAAAAATTCCTGAAAATTGCAAAAAATCACAAAAATTCCTGAAAATTGCAAAAATCGCAAAAATTCCTGAAAATTGCAAAAATCACAAAATGCCTGAAAATTGTAAAAATCGCAAAAATTCCTGAAAATTGCAAAAATCGCAAAATTACTGAAAATTGCAAAAATTGCAAAAATTCCTGAAAATTGCAAAAATCGCAAAAATTCCTGAATATTGTAAAAATTGCAAAAATTACTGAAAATTGCAAAAATTGTAAAAAATCCTGAAAATTACAAAAATCGCAAAAATGCCTGAAAATTGCAAAAATTCCTGAAAATTGCAAAAAATTCCTGAAATTGCAAAAATTGCAAAAATTCCTAAAAATCGCAAAAATTGCAAAAATTACCAAAAATTGCCACAAAAATTGCAAAAGTTGTAGAAATTTCTGAAAATTGCAAAAATTCCTGAAAATTGCAAAAATTCCTGAAAATTGCAAAAAATGCCTGAAAATTGCAAAATATCGAAAAATGCCTGAAAATTGCTAAAATTCCTGAAAATTGCAAAAATTGTAAAAATTCCTGAAAATTGCAAGAATCGCAAAAATGCCTGAAAATTGCAAAAATTGCAAAAATGCCTGAAAATTGCAAAAATTGCAAAAATTCCTGGAAATTGCAAAATTTGCAAGAATTCCTGAAAATTATGTATAATTGAGTTTATTCTTGTTCCTGGTTTATATTATGTGATTGAGATGTATTTGTCAAGGTTCAAAAATAGGCTGTTATCATCACAGAATAGAAAGACGGTTCAAATCTTCTTGTATTTTTCTGCAGTCGCTTATATCCCTTCACAGTATGATAAAGTTTCAAGTCGTCTGCATATAGTAGAATTGAACAAAATTTGAAAGACTTGATTATTCCATTCAAATAAATTATGAAGAACAATGGTCCTAGGTGACTGCCTTGGGGGACCCCACATGTTGCTTCCTGCCAACCAAGTAAGACCAAATCCATCGCAATAGGAATGTGCTCACACCAACTTCAGCCAGTCTTTGAATCAAGATGTTGTGACTAATTTTTTCGAAGGCCTTGATGAAGTCGGTGTACACAGCATTCACCTGAACTTGATCGTCCATTGAGTCTAGCAAAAAGTTTGTGAAATCTATCAAATTCGTTTCTATCGATCTTAGAGGAAAGAATCCGTGTTGTTCTTGGATTATTATATCTCTAGCTTGATCAACGATTACGTTGTAAATAATATTCTCGAAAAGTTTGCCAAAAATGCATATTTTGCTTATGGGTCTATAATTTTTGATATTGTGTTTATCACCACTTCTGTGAATTAGAATAATCTGATAGGCTTTCCATTTCGAAGAGATAGATTATAAATTATATCTATGAGGAGTTGGAACTAAGTTGTCTTTGCATTGTTGAATGAACGATACTGGAATATCGTCTGGACCTGCACATTTCTTTGAGTCCAGTGAGCGTATGGCTAGTTCTAGGTTATCAGGCGTGATTTTCATTTACTCTGATGGTAAATTCGTGAATATTGGATTTTCCCTAATAGTCGGCTTGGCTGGACATAAGTATTTCTGGAGCAAGTGGCAAAAAGATCGCAAATTCCGTCACCGTTATCAGCTGTTTGATCAGCAAAATACATTGAGGCAGGTATAACAACATTGCTGTTTTTCTTGGTTTTAATAAATTTCCAAAACATTTTAGAGTTAGTGCCAATTAGAGTCACTGGATGGTATTAGTTTGATAAGAGTTCGGACACAGAAATGACAACGGTTAGGGTTTTTGAATGTTTAAATTTATTAAGTTACACACCTTGCATTGTGACAATAGCACCATAGTCGTCCCGCGCTTCTCATTCAAAATTGTTTGAATTTGACAATAAATGTTATAAACGTCAGAATTGAAAGAAAATTTAATAATTATACTTTCGAGAAAAAAGCAGCTATGGAAATCACTTGCTGTGTGATAAATGGATATCATTTATTCAATTTTCCAAAACAGATATCAACCATCCGCTTATGGAAGGAAGATATATGAAACGCCCTGGGTGGAAAATCAATTTCAAGACGAGGGAAAGTGAGGTACTCATTAAAATTCACTTCTTATAACAGCATCTGATCAGAATGAAAGAATAAAAGAAATATTTTAGGCCCAGTTTCGAACAGAAGATTTCAAAAGCTGTTTAAGAGAATCTGCTGTTCCATCAATTTCCAATAAAGCAGTCGATTTCAAGAACAAAATTCCATTATTATCATCACACAAAATACAGAACAAAATAATCATGGAAAGAGGAAATGACCGTAGAATTACATAATAAAATTGAAAATTTGAAAACAAAACTAAGAAAAGCAAGGAAACTACAACGTGATATATTATTGAATGGCGTTTTTGGTGCCAATCAAATTCAAAATTCAACAGTGAAAAGTGAATAGTTATTTATGTATCAAGGGAATTACTATAAGGGCCTTAACTACGATGGAGGTTATCGTTTTGGAGATATTTTCTATATCGATCCATATTATTTAGCTCTTAGAGCGCGAAGTGAAGTTGCTGAGAACTTTACAGAAAAAAGTATTTGGTAGGTCTAGTCAAAATAAACTACTTTTTTCCTATGAAATGTTTATCGAAAAATGATTTGTTTGTGTTTCAACACCCTGTATCTCCGGAATTAAGCATTTCCGGACACAAGCTTATATATAGACCTCATTTCTTAAAATTGTCTCAGAAATACTTCACTTGAACGTACTTATGTTACTTCCTGTATGTTGAAAATACCTACCTTTAATTTAATATTAATAACTTCATGTATCATACTTATCACTGGAGTACAGTGTGACATACAATAAGGAATTATAGCTATAAGTTTATCCATATGTTCATATTTTCTAATATTAAATTGTTGGTACATTCATTCTTCTCATTTAAGAATATAACAGTTGTTCTACTAGAAGTATATCACTATAATTTGAAGTGGATGTATGTACCCTGTTTCCATTGTCCATCTACGACTATGATTGATTTGACAGAAAATATAACCTCTAGAATCGTATCTGACAATCAGGCGCTACTAGGGAAATTGAAAAGACAAAGAGCAGAATATATGTCTTATTCTTTTATTCACTTAAACCATTGTATTGTAGAAAATAGAAAAGGAGAAAAGTTCAGCTGTGTCCGAACTCTTATCAAACTAATACCATCCAGTGACTCTAGTGCCAATTTGATTCTCCATATTACGAGTGTACTGTTTAAGTACCTATTGGGCCTCTGCCCTCGTTAGAATATAATAAACGTTCATCAGGTAGAGCAAGGATGAACGAATAGGCCTAGTGACTCCGGTTGATAACGCCCCACCTCCGCAGGTAATTTGATAACGCTCCTGCAGAGATGCGGTTCTAGAGACCTCCGACCTCACCAACCGCAGGATGGCCAACAGTTGAACAGTTCTTCAGCAGTGGTTCCTCGGTGGTGCCGGTGCCGATGCTTAGCGGTTCTTCGGCTCGCTGCAACTTTAGCGTCGTTTCGCGATGTCGAGAGGTACCACAGACCGGGTGATTTTCGGGACGGTGGTTATGATTTTGTGGATGGTGTCGGCCGTAGAGGCAGGTAAAGAAAAAACAAAAATTCACCAAGAACCAGCAGACAATGACCATCCTCACTTTTTATTATTCAGAACTCTAGCTAATATGTAGTACTAATCAGATTTTTCGTTCCGAAAATTCCGGGATTGAAAAATCAGGATCCCGAAAATCTCCATGAGAAAAAATCGAAACTTCCAACTTCAACATTCTGTATCTCGAATAACAAAGAATCACCTGATTCCTTTCGCATTTATAAAATTGAACCCATCATTTTGACCGATAAATTTTGACTAAAATTAACAATTTCAACATTCTGTATCTCGAATGACAATAAAGAATCACCTGATTCCTTTCGCATTTATTCAATTAAACCCATCATTTTGACCGATACATTTTGACTAAAATTTTGTAGAATTCACAAGCAGAAAATTATCACATTCACTTTTTATTTTTCATAATTCTTCCTAATATGTAGTACTAATCAGAGTTTTGCATCCGATATCCCGGATGATTTTTCGTCCCGAAAATTCCGGGATTGAAAGATCGGGAATCCGAAAATCTCAATGAGAAAACAATGGAAACTTCCAACTTCAACATTCTGTATCTCAAATGACAAAGAATCACCTGAATTTTTTCGCATTTATTCAATTAAACCTATCATTTTGACCAATACATTTCGTCTAGAATTTTGTATAATTCTCGTTGATTTGAATTCTTATTGTTCTGTGAACCACAAAAGTTCCACGAACCGGGTAATTTTCGGGGCGGTGGTATGGTTTTGTGTATGGTGTCCAGGAAACCAGCAAAAAAATTACCACATTCACTTTTTGTTATTCAGGATTCTTCCTTATATGTAGTGCTAAACAGGGTTTCGAATCCGATATCCCGGAAGATTTTTTGTCCCGAAAATTCCGGGATTGTAAAATCGGGATCCCGAAAGTATCGATGAGAAAGCAATTGAAACTTGCGACTTCAACATTCTGTATCTCAAATGACGAAGAATCACCTGAATTTTTCGCATTTGTTCAATGAAACCTATCATTTTGGCCGATACATTTTTACTCAAATTCTGTAAAATTCACGAAATTCTCTTTGATTCAAACTTTGAGCCAACTTTTCGAACCAGCGAAAAATCTACACTGCACTTTTCATTATTCGAAATGTTTCCCAATTCGTAGTACTGATTTCGAAATCATGGATTCTCATCCATTTGAGTGATAATAGAACAACACGAATCTTGCCTTCAATATCATGAGCATCACACCCCAGGTCCCGATTCTCGTATTTGTGGGAATCCATTCCAAAAGGATGAATATTTTCCATCATAATTTTCAGTGAATGTATTCTCGAAAATTATATGGGAATATATGCCTGAACATTTGCAGAATGGAATCATTCGGAAACAAATGAAATAAGAACTCTATTTGGAAAGAAATCAAATTCAACATTCAATAGTTTCTCAGAAATTCCATAAATTCAAAAGCGGTGTTTTTATTCCAAGTATAAATCAATTAGGCATAATACACACACTGGCACAATTAGGGGAACGGGTAAAATTTACACTAAGTTTGACATCAATTTTCTCTCAAACCGATCACTCGATTCAAATTTGTTTTTCACGAATTGTAGCTTCATTCTTCACGAATACATCTGAGAAATAACCACCTCCAAATGATTCGTCTTTATATCATATACAGGGGTGTAGAGAAAGTACGGATTTTTCGGTGTTCTTTAAGACATCCTGTGGAGTGAACCACTGATAATTGAAACGATTTTCCAATACCAAATTATGGCCCAATCTATCCCGAATATTTTTGTTTTTTATTCATCTTGATATCCCAATTATCCAAGAAAATAAAGAGTCTCAAAGAAGAGGCGGATATTGGTATTAATTTTACCACCTCGAAACTCGAACTGGGGAGAACGTGTCGTTTTTCAACTTGTTTCTGTGAGGATTTTTACTTCAAGATGAGAATTGTTCACAGTTTTACCTATCGGTTTACTGTTTAAAGACACATACGAATACTCTCATGAATATGCAGGGGTGATAAAAGTTGCTCTAATGTTCCTTTGGTATAATGCTATTTTTGTTAATCAACGTTGGCTATTTTGTTAATGTCATTAATTATTGTCAAAGTCAAGCGATTCACAATTCATAAATTTGATTAATGAAAATTCAACGTGAGAGATTTGACTCCTACTGATGTGGCGAGGGCAGTAGCATTAATTGAGAATGACCAGTGGGCCAATGTTCTTTTAACATATGAGAGCCGCATCTGCACCAATTCAATAGATGGCAGGGAAAGACTATATCGCCGAGGTGAACGAAATGAACAATTTGATTTTACTGCTTCTGTCTCCTATGGCAGAGGTTTAGTCATGGTTAGGTTAGGTTAGTCAAGAAACCACTCATTTTCAGATCCAATATGAGTTTTGAGGTGTAAAATTGATACCAATATCCATCTTACCTTTGAAACTCTGTATTTTCTTGAATAATTGAGATATCAAGATGAATAAAAAACGAAAATATTCGAAATAGATTGGTCTCCAATTTGGTGTTGAGAAATCGTTTCAATTATCAGTGGTTCAGTCCACAGGATGTCTAAAAAAATACCGAAAGATCCGTACTTTCTTTACACCCCTGTATATGATGGAAAGACTCATCGTTTGAAGGTAATTATTTCTCAGATGTATTCGTGAAAAATGAAGCTACATTTCGCGAAGAAAAAAATTTGAATCGAGCGATCGGTTCGAAAGAAAATTGATGTCAAACTTAGTGTAAATTTTGCCCGTTCCCCTAATTGTGCCAGTGTGTGTAGATTGTTGATGAAAATACATGCATGGTAACATCTGTTAAAGATGGATTTATGCACACCGATTTTTCACTTATCTTTTGCTTCACTATGTTTCGTATTCACCACCTTCTATTAATTTCAAACTCTTCTTGTGGATCAAAACATAGTCTTCAGCGTACTTAGCCCGATGAAAATATTTGTGTTATAACATTCAGTGTTCACATAATTACAGTATAGGAATCATTCATTCACATTGTTTCCAAAGTCTTATTTGAATAGAATTTTAAGAATTTCCAACCACATTCTGAAAACAGAAGAGGAAGAAATTGTTAGTCTGACTTCTGACAGAATCGCGCCTGCGCAAGTCACAGTTTTATTTGTATTAGTCGTTAATGGTCGTTATAAGTGATGAAAGTTCGTCATCTCTTGGCGAATAGTTAATGAAAAATAAAATTCAATTTGGGTGCATAAATGAATGAACGGGAATATCAAGTTTGAACTTAACCAACCTGTGCAAAATATTGAAAACTTCTTGATACTCCCAATTTGATGAACTACCATTTATAATCGCGAAATTAAGCGAGAACTAACGCACAAGACAGTGAAGTTTTTCAATCATTTTGATCAGGATAGTGATTAGCTTTCCGTTCGATAGAATACAGCGTTCTCACATGTCTATTGGGAAAAATATCATATCGTCATCAGATGGCTCTCCTACTATTGAAAGACCGCCGAAATAATGAATGAATATTACGAGATTAAGTTAGAGACCTTTGTTAAAATTCGAACTAGGTACTGCAAATTATTGTCTTTCTATACTCCAAAGTTTCGACAAATCTCTTCCAAAATACTAAACACGAAGCCCGATTTTTGATTGTTCACAATGTTTTCGGTTCTGTCACTTATTCTTGCTATTTCCGGTTCTCCAAAGTTCGTTATTCTCGAGTTCCACATTGTTAATACTCCACGACCTCCGCAAATTAAGTATACTTTATTGTTATCCTGGGAAAATACGAGAGGCATGATAATATTGTGTGAATAGCACCGGTGATAGCACGCACGCAGATGTATAGAAGATATAGGTGCACTTACGACTCTGGAATAATATTGCACGAATAATGTCCAATAAGCATCGAACATGACACACAAATATACACACTTTGGTCATTAGAAAATGATCCGCCCTGAAACACTCCTAATATATTCGTTTGAAAAGAATAGTTGAGAATGTTGAACAGACTAGAATGGTTGTCAGTGAGAGTTTTTTTATTTTACCAGGCATCACTCATTTTTATATACAAAATAAGTAATGGCACTTTACCAGAACATCTGAGAGATGAAGTGAACTATAATTTTTAATATAATCACTATGAAACGGGATTTTGACGAGAATTCCACATTCCGCAATTCCAGGAAAGATTTATGCAAAACTCAATAAGTGCAAATCTTTAGAAAATTTTAGATCAGACTAAGGTAAGGTAATTTGAGGATAGATGACGTGGAATGTGAGATATTTTCGCAATCGCTAGAGTCACTCTGAGGCTTCAATTCTGAAGTCACTTTTTGTGGGCCCAATTCTCGAATCATTCGAATACACTTCCTATAGGAATGAGAAGAGACAAAAATACATTACTGGAGTAAATAAGAGCGAGACTGCAGTTAGAGTACCTATAGGAATAAATTCAAGAATCCACAACTTTCCTGATTTCATAAGTTTCCGAACTGGATATGGTCTGAAGAAGGTACAAGTCTCAAAATATGTGAAATTCACCATAACATTGATGTGAATTTTGGATGAGCCATATAATCATCATTGAATTGAGATAGAAGGTTCCCGAGAAGGTTCCCAAAAAAAAAGGAGGAGTTGGCACAAGAAAGATCATGATCAATTTAAATCGTATCCATAAGAAGATGACGTGGAGACATTATGAAGGAAATAATCGTTTTATTACAATTATTCAAAGTGATAGTTTTCTGAAATTGAAATATAAAAATGTCATTATGAAATCACTCAATTCTGGTCAAGATCTAGTAGTCACGTAGTCGTTATTAATGAATACCTATTAGATTCCAGTGCCATTCCTGCGAAACTCGCATCAGAACAGTGAATTTGGGTCAATTGTATAACATAGAGGTGGGGCTTCATTGACAAGTATTTCATAAAATGACGAAAACTACCTTGGTAGGAACAACACACTTAATGTCTTGAAAATACGTAAATAATGGTAGG